GTTATTTCTCTTATGAAAAGGGTGACTCTCTATATGACACGTGTACTTGTATTAAATGATTTCATGTGAATAAGACAAGACTAGTCACGTGACAAAAACATCAATGCACCGGGTCATCAGACTGAAACCGAGCTATTCAAAGAGCTTGGGGAAAAAAAACAGAGATTGGTCCTCATCATGACTGAACTGTTTCAAACAATAAACGGAGGGCTAAAGAAATGCCTATAACTCAGACATTCTGGTTAAACGGATTAGCATAATTATAGGCCCGGCAGAAGGAATTGTCAGAGAGATCTCAGTAACTTTCCAAACAGAGCCGCCTAATTGAAGGAAAATGTATCACCTTGAATCGAGAATCATGAAAACTTTAACTGAACAAGGGTATATAAAAGGCACAAGGAGCCAAGGTGAAAGTTACGCTCAATTCTCCTTATCTTCTTGCAATCGTTTTAGTTCTATTACTGACTTAAGCATCAGAGTACCTTCAATCGCAGCACTTCGGTCTTAGACAGTTTGTTAGTTTTGTAGAAAGCAGAGACTCAGAGATCAAGTTCAAAGTTCACTCTTATCAAAAACATTCATTCTTTATTCTTGCAAGAGGTATCCTTAATTTTTACCTCATACAGAAGTTTAGTGCAAATTTTCACTGCCCACCAACTTTTGTCTTTACTAGAAAAGAAACTACCTAGCAGCCTTTGCTGATGAAGCGACTGCAACCTCCAACACACCTCCTTACCTTTGTAAGTCACTTCTATTATAAACTAGTTGGTGTATATGAACTAGTTGGTATACACATACTTTGCACGTGGACAATCTCATTAAAAATATATTATTTTGTACTAAAATTAGAAAAAATGATTCCAATATTACAAATAGTTGAATTAAGCTCATTAAAATTGTGATTTTAATTTTTTTTTTTTTTTTTGGAGAGTAGGGAATCAAAGGCTGAAAAAATTTCAATCTCTATTTGTTTGGCCCAAAAAAAATAATATTTTCAAATGTACATAAACTAATGCCTTTTCAGATTTTTATTGTTCAATATAAAGCTCAAGACGTAAACCTCTGACACAAAAATTCAATCAAAGTATTAGTTAAATCTATATAATAAAATAAAATATAATTCAAGTCTCAAAAGATAAACAAAATAAGTTTTACTTTTCGCAGTTGAGATATCTTTAAATTTTACTTTAAAGTTAATCTGACGACTAATATTAATGCTCCAAATTTAATAAGAAAAATAGACTCTTAAGAGTGTGTTTGAGGTAAATTTTTAAAAGTGCTTCTAGAACATAAGTATTATTAAAAAAAAAAAGTAGTGTTTGGAACAGCTCCATTATCATCACTCCCACCGCGCCACCACCACCTCTATTACAACAACCACCCCCGACGTCTCCACTACCACTGCCGCCACCCCACCATCACTATACCACCAACCTTACCACCACTACTGTTTCTGACACCCTACCACCACCACCACTACCATAACCACCACCACCACCACTATAACCACCGCCGCCACCCCCTACCCCGCCACTACCTCTGCAACAACAACAACCACCGTCGCCGTCGTCACCCCACCAACACTGTCCCTCCATCACCCCCTACCACCACCATCCCCATCGTCTCACCACTTTTCTGTCAACTATCACCACCACCACCACCACCACCACCACTAGCCCCACCATCACCACTGCCCCACCACCACCACCAATGCCCTCACCACATATTGTTACCACCGTTGTCCACCTTCACCATCCACCACCATCGTCTTCTCATTCTTATATTAATTACCGCTACCACTATCATCCCATTACCACCATCGCCCACCGTCAACACCCCACTACCACCATTCTTACCCATTGCCAACCACCATTACCTGTCGTTGCCCGCCATCGCCGTCAGCCACTGTCACCCACCCCCACCACACCTACCACCATCGCCATTCTCCACCATCCATCACATTATTGCCCAGAAGTGCCTGTCATTGCCTACCACCACCATCGTCCCCGCCACCACCACTATCGTCGCCCCACTACCACTACTGCTAACCACCATCACCGTCGTCCGCCACTACCCACACCTACCACCACAATCGTCGTCACTCATGACTGTCACTACTACAATCGTCACCCAAAATCCACAACCACTATCACCGTTGCGACCCATAGTTGTCACCACAACGATCATCGCCACCCACCACAATCATCTTCGTTTTTCGACCACAACCATTACTACTCACAACCGCTACCACCGCTCATCCCTAATATAATTGGTGCTTCAATTTCTTTCTCTGTCCTCTATGTTTGTGATTTGATTTTAGGTGTGAATACAAATATATTTATTATTGACCATTTTTTTATTACTACATGCCTCAGGCACGAGAAATAACTAATCTAATTATATTTGGCATTATAAATATATACGCAATGAAGAGATTGACTATCCAATACGTAGTTATGTTATATACATGACCTGTTCACCAGGAAAGAGAATCACAAAATCTTACTTTCTTAACTACTTGTTGTTCAACGCTTTTCTAGATTTCTTGAAATATTTTTTTCAAGATAGAATGAAAAAAAATAATGAAGAGTTGAAGTTGAAAGTAATTATCTAACCATGAACATACAAGGAAAAACCACAAGCTTTTTTTGTTTTTGGAAAAATTTCAAGCCCCCGCACATATAAATAAGGACAAAAGTGATTACCTAAGAATCGAGTTGTACGATATAAGGAGGGTACTTTCACATCAAACAAATATATCAAGCAAGAATATTTTTACAACAATTCTTGAAACCTAGTAGGAAAGAGGGAAAATTTTGTAATTGTTTTTTTGTAATTACCATAAACTCTTAATTTTTCAATGTCCATAAAACCCAAACATCAACTTAGGAGAAAATTTTAAAACTTTCTTGTCGTGACAAAAAACTTTTGGCCTAAAAGCATTAAAACCTCAAATAAATTGATGTGGTTAGAATTAGAAGACCAAAAGTTACCGAGCCCAATATGTGGGGAAACAAAAAGGTGGTAGTGAACATCATTAGAGTTGAAATCAATAACTAAGTTGAATTGAATACATAAAATACTTAGCATATGTACATAACTAAGAGCAACTCCAACAATGCTACCTAAAATAGCTACTCAAAATATATTTAAATATTGTATTATCTACTTTAGTTAACCACCTTTTTAAATTCACTCTAACCACGCTACCTATTTTAACTAACCATTTCAACTAACTTTAACTAACTATTAATTATTAAAATCTAAAATTCTAACTATTAATTATTAAAATCTAAAATTCTAACTATTAATTATTAAAATCTAAGAATTGGAGGTTTTGCTGGATTTTTTAGGGGTTTTGCTAGATTTTTTAGGGGATGTTGCTGGATTTTTTAGGGATTTTGCTAGATTTTTGGGGGGTTTTACTGGATCTTTTGTGGGTTTTGCTAGATTTTTGAAGGTTTGATGAAATTTGGAGGGGGGTTTACTGGATTTTAATCTCAACTCATCGTCTTCTCCATTTTACTGGATCTAGTCCTCTGCGATGAAGAAAATACCTGTTTCCCACAATTCATCTATTACCACAATTCATCTCATCCTACTTCCCACAATTCATCTATGTGATAAAGACGATGAAGCCTCTACGATGAAGTCTTCTATGGACTGAGCTTCTATGGAGTTGACAATTTGATTCAGAGTGAGGTGCAGAGATGAAGCCTGGACTGGACGAAGAACCCTCTGTCTGCGATGAAGCTTTTTGTTGGTGCAAAAAAACAGTAGCGAGCTTCTTTGTCTCGCCAGGAATAGCCAGCCAAACGAAGGTTATGGAAAATAGCTAGTGTGATAGCTAGCCTGTTGGAGACAAGATTTAAGGACTGCCTATGTAAAATAGCTAAGAAGTGCATTTTAGCTAACCAGTTGGAGTTGCTCTAAGGGCCTGAACCAAATTTTCCAAACTCCAATTCTGTGGTAAATATCATGTTAGGCATAGTGTTAGAGAAGTATGCTAGTAGATGCCATTTAGCCATCAACCATTGATTTAAGGGGGAAGACTTGAACCTGAGGGAAGTTATCCTCTCTCTGGTGATCTGTGTGATAATTCCAAACAATGTGTCACTGTGCTTGAACTAATTTTGAAGATCCTACTGTTTCCTTCCCTCCAAAAACAGTACAATTAATGCTCAGTTTTTGCAACATAACAATCAATCCTTTCCCTTTCCACCTCTGAGTTGCCCAACTGTAAAATCATTCCATGGTCCTAAGAACCATGTTAGTCCACTCTATTGCATCAGCTTCCTCCTTATACTCTGAGATTATTGACAAGCAAATAATAAGTGAAAATGAGACTCTGAACCCATCTATAGAGTATACACTCCAGCTGCTGTTGTGGGTTAAATGATTGCAATCTATTCCTGGTGCTAAGTTTATTCCTCACTGCAGGGCTAGATTGCAATAATGGCCTAAATAGCATTATTAAGTTTAGATTAGATTCTTAGCCAGATATATATTTTTCTTACTAGCCCGTGATAAATAAACGTTTAGAGTTCACAAATCATGAACCACTTATCTTATTGAATCTTTTGACCAAGTAAATTAGAATCCAAAAGATGTCCCACATGTCTATTCAGCATTTGGCTACTATCTTCAAACATTTTTATGACTTGATTGGATTCAAACTAATTGTGTTTTAAATAATGGAAGCTTTTGAGTATTTTTTTTTTTTATATTCTCATAAAGTGTTTTAAGGGAAGAATTCTAGCTAGAAAATACAAACTTTGAACTAATGAACTTCTTGTAATTATGAAATTTACTTAAAAAAATTTGGTGTTTTCAATCACGCCGGAACGGCTGCCCGGGCAATGCCGGCCACATGTCAAACCCATGCATAAGCGTACTGTGCATGAGATTTTCTTTAAATAGCTCTTTCTTATAGGGAAGTTTAGTGCAAATATTCACTGCCTTCAATTTGTACCTTTTCTAAGAAAGAAACTACCTACCTGATGGCCATCGCGACACAACCCCATTTTTCCTTTCGGGCCATCGCTTTAGTCTTCCTCCTCTTTCCACTAGCAGCCTTTGCAGATGAAGGGACTGCAACATTCTACACACCTCCTTACGTTCGTAAGTCACTTCTCTTTTTTTTTTTTTTTCTGATACACACACACACACACGTAGATAATGATCAATAAGCTATATATATTCATTATAATAGTTTATTATAATGAATAATAAACTATCTTAGCTTTCGAATAATGCACTCGTACAACGGAAAGAAAAACACTCATACAAGGTAAAGATAAGTCAGAAAATTAAGAGGGCACTATAGAACACCCAAAGTGGGAGACTTGTGAAATAAATCTTTCTATTTTGTAATGATTGACTTCTAGAGCTCTTAGTTAAAAGAATTTTGAAGCAATCAAGTGTATGCAATTAGATTAGGCCATATTGGTTAAGTCTGTACTTTTAGATTTCAGGTATCATTATTTCTAGTGATTTTTTTCCAACAAGAGCCAAAAAAACATTTGGGGATGAAGTCAAAAATTAAGTAGAGGTTCATATTAAGTGGAAGAATTTATCCATTAGTAGTTAGGACAAGTTTTTTCTCGCCTTTCTATATGTCACCCATTTTGTGTTGTTGTACCCTAATCAAGTTTCATCAATTAGCTTGATTTCATGAGTGTAAATAATATCCTCATATACTTTTTTTCATAGTGGGGAATAATCTCAACTATTTATTTTTTGATTCGTTGTAGTTGTAATACAAACTTCGAGCACAAGAAATCATATTTTTTACCATGTGTATTGATTAACTGAAATTCAAGCTTAGAAACTTGGGGTATTATACCCTTGAGGCCCGCTCATCCGAGTTAATCCATGGATTAACAGTAAGACTTTTGTAAGTTGGAGAGACAACCAATAGGTTTTTTTTTTTGGTGAAACCACCCCGTGAGTGCTCACTTCTGCCCTCGGGTGGTTGTGGATTCAAATCTCGTCCTTTCCCCTCTCCATTCTCCTCCTCCAAAAACGTTTTTTTTTTTAATGAGATAATCTAAGTTACTAACTCCTATTAGACATTTCTCAAAATTAACAACATCTATGTGGGTTAAGGAATGAAAGAGAATTACTCAATTTAATTTTTCTTTTGGTGACGCAGCTTCTGCTTGTAATGGATATAATGATGATGGTGTGATGATTGCGGCTGCAAGTGATGCAATCTGGGACAATGGTGGTGCATGTGGAACAAGGTATAGTGTCATTTGCCTTAGTGGGACCAACCTGGGCGAGCCCCACCCCTGCAACGGCAACTCGGTCATTGTGACGATTGTCGAGTACTGCCCGCCACCTGGATGCCGAGGCACTCTCGACTTATCACAGGAAGCTTTTTCCTCCATTGCCAATCCGGATGCTGGCAAAATAAACATAAACTTTGAGAGGTACGCGATATTTAGGAATAAAAAAAAGATACTGTTTTCATTTAGGCAATATTGTTCTTTGTCATTGCTTTAGCGTTCTTTTACGCCAATGTCAGATTATTTATCCGTTTTTCTTTTCTTTTCTTTTTCCTTTCATGCAGCCTATGAAGCATCAAAGATGGATAGGCTTATGATCATAAGTGGGTAGACTTTTGGATATTGAAATTTTTTTCCATATCCTGCAGCAGTTTCTTGTGGAAACACAATTCTTGTATTTTCTTTTTTTCTTTTCTTTCTTTTTGCTTTCTTGCTTCGTGTAGGCGCTTTCATATTTAAACTGCTTTTGTTTTTCTATCATCTTGCTTCAATTTAATCCCTATTTTCTTGATTAATGTCAAAGAATATAAAATTCAGAATATGTAATAGTCAATTGTGAATCTTCTACTTTTTGAAGTGAGGAGGTGATTGAGTGGTAAGGTTTCACTTTTACCCGTAGGTGGTTGTGGGTTCCAATTTCACCTCATTTCCCCCAAGAAAATGACAAAATTCACCTTATGTAATATTCAGTACTCTCGAAAAATTAAACTTTATATGTTATTTAATAACCCTACTTTTGTGTTGGAAGTATGCATGCACAATTTGATCCACCATCGCCACAACCTGCTGCAACCACACCACCAATGCCCACACCAACTGTAATGTATCCACCACAAGCCACACTCATCGTCAACACACCTGATTCAACCACTACGTACCTCCATTACCATGCCCATTGATAATGGTAAATTTGGCACACCCGCTGGGTAGAGGTACCCTGCTCCTAGAAGGAGGAGCTCCGTAGTTCAAAAAAGCCCAACCTGCAGTTCCTTGCTCACCCAGCTTAGCCCAACACTGTTTGGGTTCAAGCTAATTTTGTTTTTAACGAGGGAAGCTTCTGAGTATGTGTTTCCAATCAAGAAGATCCAAACATGCCAAAACCATGACATATTCGACATTTTTACTATTTGGGTCAAAACATGCTATTGTTTGACGGATATTTTGCTACCCACAAGAAAAAGAAGTGAATTTTCAATTTCACATAGCAATAGAAAATTGGTCCATGTCCCAAGAAAAAACAAAAACTGAACTGTTATGGAGGAGAATTTTCCATATAAATGCACTTTTAACTCCAACTCCGATGGAATTAGGATATAACAGAGTAATAATTGACGGGAAAACTTTGTAGAACAAGTCCAAGCTCATGAGAATCTACGTACAGAGTTTTTAGTGAACTAAAAAGGTCATTCTGGAAACCATGTTGTTGATTATCTCTAGTTAAATTTGTTTTGACATGTACTGATTTCATTAGTTGGAGGAGAGAGTGTCCGTAGTTTTCGTATCCTGTACTGCAACAAGACTGTTTGAATAATTGAGGAAATATAATTATTGCCGTTTCGTGTAAAAAAAAACTCAAACTCTAAACAATCAGTAGATATTCACGTCCTGACATTTAAAATATTATAAAACTTATATGTGCGTAATACATAGATCAATGTCATTGATGTTTTTTAGTATATCAATTAGTAAATTACATCAAGACCCTTAAAAATTGAAGAATGTAATACTTAGACTCCTCAAGTTTAAAATATTACACTTACACAAAAAATCTTTAATTAATAATAAAATATCAAATGTTTTAAATTTTACAACTAAAATTTTATTGAAATAAAATCATAAATAAAAATATAATTTTTTTAAAAAAAAATTACAACTAAAATTTTATTGAAATAAAATCAAAAATAAAAATCTAATTTTTTTTTAAAAAAAAAATTATAATTAGTAATGTTGATATCAAAATTTGGACGACCCCTATATCAGTTTTTATGGCTTCAATCACCTGAAAAAGAAGTCGGAGACAGGAGAGGAGCTCCGATGGTTGACTCTCCAATGCATAAGTCAATAAGTGACTCAAACGTATGAATTATGGTTTAAAAGTTAGGAGTGACATAATTGGAACATCCATAAAACTTTATTTATAGGATTTTTTACAATTTGAATTGTATAGGGATAATGATTGAAGATTTAGTCAATCATAGAAAGATAAAGATTAAGTCCTTACTTTTATAAGATAATTTGATATTATCCGTGTGGTTAAATTTAGTTTATCCATGATATATAGAATCCTATTTAAATTAGAACTCTTGACAAGATGGGTTAGACTTGAACTAAATGAACTTTTCACATTGGATCAATCTTTTCATCATCAAATACGAATATACGATTTTTTTTTTTTTGAGGGGGAGGGAGAGAAGAGAATTTTAACCCTTGACTTCAAAAAGACAAAGTCTTCACAAGATAAGGAGTATCACTGGACCAAAGACCCGTTGGTACAAACATATGAAATAAGCATAACCAACACATTTACGAGTTCCATTATATACCCCATCGACATCAAAATCAAACAAAATCCCAATTTTTGGAGAAAAAAATAATTTGTATAAGTATATTAAATAATTCAATTTAACACTTAGTTGTATAGAATTATACTATCTATTGAAATAAAACTAAAAAATTAAATTAGGAATCAAAACTGTAATTGACACAATATCTTTTATTTTTAATTGGTGTAATTAATTCACTTAATAGATTCCATTAGTTTCATAACTAATAAGGGTCTAAATATAATTTTTAAATTTAATAGGCTTAAATGTTACACGTCTACAAACTTAAAGGAGATATTAGTAGACTTAAGGAGATATTAGGATGATGTTCAAAACATCCAAAAGTGGATATAATGTACGCTCACAATGGCAAAATGTTTAAAGCTAAGAACCTTGTCTACATAAGAAATAACCATCACAACTCAGGACTAGGCTTAGAAAATGACAAAGGACCCTAACAAATAAGACAAACGATGTTTAACAGTAATGTTCTGCTTGTAGCCCCCGTGATTATGTTTGTAGAAGAACCTTTTCTACATAAGAACCGGTGCAAAAATATATTATGTTGACTCAATCTCACCCAAAAGAATAAAGAGAATAAAAAATTAGTTCTCCGTATCAATTACTCACATGATAAATCTGTTGGGGAAATTAGTGTAATTATACATTATTTTTTATGGCGTAAATCAACGTGGATGAGAAAAAGGTGCAGGTGACGTGTGATGAGTGTGGATCAGAGCTACAAGGCTCGTGTGTGATGCTACAGTGAAATACTTAGGAGATTAAAGGGGTGTACACAGTGAAAATATAGTAGTTCACCGGCTCAGAAGCTCGGCTAGTCCACTTTTCAATGGAGGCTCTTGCTCCCTCTCCTCTATTCCATACTCAAATGTATTACAATACAGTATATCTCGAAATTAGGGTTTTTTTCTCCCCCTTTTCTATGGAGGCGTTACATAGTATTTATAAGGCTGCCCCTTATTCCGCGGGATTTCAGCCGATATCTTTGCCTATTATTCATGGGATCTTCCTTGATTTTAGTAGAGAATCTTGGTTGGTTGAGAGTTTCATGCATGAGGCCCAATTTTCGCAGTCATCCAACTGTTTCCTGGTTGGTTCCGCTACGATCTCCCCAAGGGGAGCTCCACCCCTAGTTCTTTGAGCTCCTCGTGTTTTTCCTGACCTCCTGACTCGAGCTCACAGCTAGGGCTTGTTTGAGGTATCATTAGTTACCCCCCAGCCCCTGGTTCAAGCGAGCTTGGGCAGGGGTTGAGCTGTTTTTTAAACCGAGCAGGATCTTCATGTGGCTAACCTTGGCCTGCACGTGGGTTAGGCCTTTTTGACGGTTTTCAACAATCATGGCTTCCTCGTTTCCCACGCATATTTCAGTCCACGTCTTTCAGGCTTTAAATGCTCAAACGGCTATCTAAACCTCCCTATTCCACTATTCAACTTCTCTGCTGCTTCTCTCTTCTTGCAATTTCTTGGCTTTCTGGTTTGGAATTCTCTGACTCCTCGTTCAAGATCGAGTTCTGTGGGTTCGATTGAAGATTCGCATTGCCCTCTTTCTTCCATTTCGCTCTAGGTTGCTGTTTGTTGCTCTTTCCCACCTAGGTACGCCCTTTTGTCTTTTTTTGATCTTTTCTCGTTCTGAATCCCTCGAATTCGAGATGGCCATTGCGTTACTGGGCCTTTTGGTTCTTTTACTTTTGGAATCGAAATTACTGCTTGTCTCCTCTCCTCCACTTCGTGAACTGGTCTTCTATCGTGCTAATCCATACTGTTGGAAGCTACTGGGCTGACCCTAGGGTTATTAGGGAGTGCTTAATCATTATTCCTCCTCTCTACCATTCTTTCAGTTTACCTTTCTCCTGTCCAATCATTTCTACTCCTTCCATAGTTGCACGCCCCTTTACTTCTCTCTTGGGTGATAGGTCTGCCGAAGAGGACACTGATTTAGGGGATGTAGGCGAGGAAATCGANACCCTAGGGTTATTAGGGAGTGCTTAATCATTATTCCTCCTCTCTACCATTCTTTCAGTTTACCTTTCTCCTGTCCAATCATGTCTACTCCTTCCAGAGTTACACGCCCCTTTACTTCTCTCTTGGGTGAAAGGTCTGCCGAAGAGGACACTGATTTAGGGGATGTAGGTGAGGAAATCGGNCAGTTTACCTTTCTCCTGTCCAATCATTTCTACTCCTTCCATAGTTGCACGCCCCTTTACTTCTCTCTTGGGTGATAGGTCTGCCGAAGAGGACACTGATTTAGGGGATGTAGGCGAGGAAATCGACAATTTTACTAGTGTGGTTGTTGTCGATGCCGAGGAAAATACTGAGGAACCATCCCCATTGTCTTCTTCTGTGCCTCCTAATCCTAACAAAGGTAAGGGCAAGGTGAGTAGGATAGGAGTCTCTAACAGCGCAACGGGCACAGGGACTGCCTTTAGGCATGCTGAGCTTATAGGACCTAGTGAGGTTGACTCTTCTCATGTGAGAATTCTCAGTGCTCGTTACGATTTTCCTCCTGGTGTCCAGATAAATACACCTCATACGTTGCCCAAGTTCACAAGAGAGTATGTTTCTTTGCGACTACTTTTGAGAATGACCTTCGCTTCCCTATGCATCCCTTCATTAAGAGTGTTTTGCAACACTTCAATGTCTGCCCTGCTCAACTCTCCCCTAATTTCTGGGGTGTACTTGTGGGTCTTCTTGTTTTATTCAAGATTCATGGACTCGGGGTCCCTAGCCTTTCCTTGCTTGTGAATCTTTTTAATGTCAAGCTCACCTCATCAAAGGGTTTCTTATATATCTCCAAGCGAACCACGGCTAGGCAGATCATTACTCATCTCCCGAGCTCCCATAAGGGTTGAAATAAACAATTACTTTTCGTTGGGGGCACCAACTGGGAGTACAACCCTGCTAACAGGACTGATACTCTGGGTATCCCTAGAACTTGGTCCGCCCTTGATAACTTAGGTGAGTCCTTGCTCGAACTGATTGAGCTCTGGTTTGGGAATCATTGAGTAACCTTTTTGACATTTGCTCTCCTTGTGTTGCATTTCAGGCATTCGACCAGAGCTCAGTGCTGAGGACAAGAGGGTAAAGCGAAAGTTAGAGAAGTGCAATCCAGAAAAGTACTCCGAGCTCATCAAGCCCTAGGTCTTAGTAACACAGGAATTTTGTCCTCCTGAGGTATCGATAGAAGCTCCGTTCCCTATCTCAGTTGTTAGGCCTGAAGACATAGATGGTAACACTTTCTGAGTTGGTTCCCCTTGCCTTCCCTTCTTTTTCTTTTCTCCTATTTAACTTACTCGGTCCAGATCTTCCAGGCTCCTCCATAATGAAATCTACCCCTG